TACATCCTGTATATTCAGATCTCTCAACCTGTAATTTTGAAAAAAGATGGTATTGAGGCCAGAAATGTTTGCTATTTGCTCAAAAAAGCTGATGGCCTAAATTTTAATCAAAATGCGGTGATTTTGACAACTTTAATGGAATTCTCTAGCACAATATGTACAAAAATGATAATGTTATGTAAGCTAATTTTATTTTATTGCACCTGCTTTGTACTTTTAATCATTTTGCTCTCATTATACTAATAATAGTGTAAAGCAACAATTCTCAAATATAGGGTCTTGTGAGGCCATCAATCCTTTCTCTCTGGTCACAAATATCATTCCTCTGCTTAAAAAATCTTTAAAAATATATACAACATTAGTGATTGTCATTCACAGTCAACAAAAAATGCTTAGTGGATTTATACATGTTTATTAAGAATGTCATTCTAACACATAAAAGAAACAAATTACGAAAAAAAAAAACATTTGTAAGAAAAAGGAAATATGTTACAGAATTTTTAAAATATGGATTTCCATGCAAAGATGTTAATAATAATTATATTGTATAGTGTTTTGCAAAACTTTGCAGGTTTCAAGTTCTTAAAGATATTTTGTGGTGGTACACCATTTTGATAAGTTTGTATATATCTTTAATAGTATACGTATACTTTTTCCATTCCTTTGTTCTTGGTTCTTTTGTATATAACTTTCTAGGAACCTCTTCCAAGTGTGTATGGTGAGTGGCCTAGTTAGAAGACAAAGGAGAGGTATGACCCTGAGGACAAGAGAAGAGATAACGGGGGCCACTTTTTGTCGGGATGTCGAGGTGAGAAGACACGGAGTAGTGTTCTCCAGGTCGTTTTAGCATCGGTTGGAGAGAGAGAAAGAGACTATAGGTTAATATTAACGATCAAGAGGAATTGAGTATCCTGATATAAGTACTTCTGGAAAGGTATAAGAAAGTTTTCGATCGAATTCTACCCAGTGTCCCTCATCATCTATAAAGATATATTTTGGCCACTACCACCACGAGATTGTCAACTATCTTGGGTACCCATTCTTGTCTTGCACTAAAAAAAATCTATTCTGTCCTGTTTTCTATCCTTTTCCTCCTTCCTTTTTTAGAATAAGTAGTTTTTAAGTTTTTAGCTATAAGTTTTCTTTGTACCACGGTGAATATTTTTGGGCTTATTTTTTGTCGCAAGAATTGCATGAATGGTTCTGCCTGTATATCTGTGAATTGTTTGTATAAGAATTCTAACGAGGAGTGTCGGAATCTATATGAATCCTGAAAAGTAAAAACCACGGGTGAAATAAAGTACGTTTCTTTTGTATTACTTGCCTATCTTTTTGTTAGATCATATCACCACATGCATATTACCGCAATTTGAAACAAATTACCTAATGTATGTTGAAAAAGCTAATATATTTTTAAAAAAAAAATCATCCAACTCCCTCAAAGAATTTAAATGAAATTTTATTATTAAAATGAAGTGTAAACCAAAACCAAGATGTTTTATGTTTTTAAGAATGCAAATTCCCAAAATCCCAAAAAATAAATTAAATTCAAAATTAAAGAGAAACATTCACTTACATACGTGACTGATCCCGTAACGCAGAAATATGTAAATACGATAGTGTGATATTACACTTTGTAAGCCAGATAAAAGACGACACACCAGTTCAATGGAGAGGCGCGTAACTACTGAAAGCGAACTTGAGACTACGAGCATGAAAGGCAATCTAATTTCACCATGTAATACCACAACTCTGGAAACCTCTAAAACATGGACTACTTTATTTAAAGGCAATCTAATTTTAGATCAAATTGTCTGGCTGTATTTTTGGTGACTGTTAAGTGCTCAACTCATAAGAGTGGTGTATTCTTTGTTTTTTTCTTTTAGTTGACACTGGTGGCGATTAAATCCATGTACTATTATTATTAATGTTCCACCTTATATAACTAACTAGTAATTAAATGTTTTGAATAGTTTTTATCATTATTGTTAGTCCAGAATTCTAAGCCAAAGCACACACAGTTTACAGTAATGCTACATTGATAGGAATTAATCTAAGATTAACTTCTACTAAAAAAAAGAGTCTAGTTTTTATCATTTAAAGTTTGTATATTAAATGTCAAGTAACCAAAAAGAAGAAAATATAGCAGATTTGTATCTATGCAGTTCAAATAGTTATTTTCCAGTAATAAGCCATTAAAGATAGTAAATATTCTCAGAATACTTTTACAGTTTAATTTCTAATTAGTTTCTTTACTCAATAAAAATGTAATTTTAAAACTTTATATTATATACAAGTACTTTTATTGTTATTTCTTAAAATATTATATATTCAATATTTTTTAAAATATGTACAAAAATATTAAATTTAATAAAACAAATTTTCTTACTTTCATTATTACATTGCTTTAGGCTCACGAGAGAATCGGCAGAATTAGATCTCATCAGATTAATAGCAGGTTTTAATTCTCCTTCGGCTAAAAAGTATAAAACGTATATTAATTAATTTAACCTTAAAGACAATTTTATTTTGTTTAATTAATGTCAGTTACAAGCATTTTAGTTTATATGGGGATTTAGTCTGTATTTTCCAAACAATGTGTGGAGAAAGTGGGGATTTTCGAGGAAGGATATGGGAAAAAAGAGGTAGAAGTCGTCTGGCGTGCGACAACACTGGCCGGCCTGCGGTTAGTAATTAATTTAAAATAATCATTATATAATATCCTGATATAATCAGGTAGTTGTTGGCTTAATATCAATGATCAATTCAAATCTACAGATGTGCTCACACATTGTTCTAAATTTGAGCCAAGTGTTATCAGTTTTGCATAAAGTAATTCAAGTCAAACTATACAGTGTAGACATGCTGCACGGAAGTATCTTACTTTGTCTACATTGTCTACACTTTACGGGAATTTTTTAAACAGAAATGTAGTGTAATTTAATAACTACATTAAAAATAACAAGTTACTTGTAAGTAGTTACCTACCATAAGTAATTAGTGTGAGGTTAGGCGTTCTCTTTGTGTAATCAGTGAGGTGAAGGGGTTAATTAATAATAATAATTATTTAATATCCTAAAGTAGTCTTAAAAGTTATCATCATTAAGTTGAAGATATAATCATTATTATAATTAATATTTGCTTTTATATTTGGTTTTAAAAACCGAGATGTTTAAATATAAACATCTATACTAAAACCCGATGAATTGCAATGACACACCAACAACTGCCGCGACATTACACTTTGTAAGCCAGATAAAAGATGACACACCAGTTCAATGGAGAGGCGCGTAACTACTGAAAGCGAACTTGAGACTACAAGCATGAAAGGCAATCTAATTTCACCACGTAATACCACAACCCTGGAAACCTCTAAAACATGAACTACTTTATTTAAAGGCAATCTAATTTTAGATCAAATTGTCTGATTGTATTTTTGGTGATGGTTAAGTGCTCAACTCGTAAGAGTGGTGTATTCTTCGTTTTTTCTTTTAGTTGACACTGGTGGCGATTAAATCCGTGTACTATTATTATTAATGTTCCACCTTATATTAAATGTTTTGAATAGTTTTTATCATTATTGTTAGTCCAGAATTCTAAGCCAAAGCACACACAGTTTACAGTAATGCTACATTGATAGGAATTAATCTAAGATTGACTTCTACTAAAAAAAAGAGTCTAGTTTTTATCATTTAAAGTTTGTATATTAAACGTCAAGTAACCGAAAAGAAGAAAATATAGCAGATTTGTATCTATGCAGTTCAAATAGTTATTTTCTAGTAATAAGCCATTAAAGACAGTAAATATTCTCAGAATATTTAACAGAATAAATTTAAAAACATTTTAAGAAATTAATTGTCTATATAAATTAAAGCTATTTTTAAATCTTTAAAAATAGCTTTTTAAAACTTTATATTATATACAAGTACTTTTATTGTTATTTCTTAAAGTTTTATATATTCAATATTTTTTAAAATATGTACAAAAATATTAAATTTAATAAAACAAATTTTCTTACTTTCATTATTACATTGCTTTAGGCTCACGAGAGAATCGGCAGAATTAGATCTCATCAGATTAATAGCAGGTTTTAATTCTCCTTCGGCTAAAAAGTATAAAACGTATATTAATTAATTTAACCTTAAAGACAATTTTATTTTGTTTAATTAATGTCAGTTACAAGCATTTTAGTTTATATGGGGATTTAGTCTGTATTTTCCAAACAATGTGTGGAGAAAGTGGGGATTTTCGAGGAAGGATATGGGAAAAAAGAGGTAGAAGTCGTCTGGCGTGCGACAACACTGGCCGGCCTGCGGTTAGTAATTAATTTAAAATAATCATTATATAATATCCTGATATAATCAGGTAGTTGTTGGCTTAATATCAATGATCAATTCAAATCTACAGATGTGCTCACACATTGTTCTAAATTTGAGCCAAGTGTTATCAGTTTTGCATAAAGTAATTCAAGTCAAACTATACAGTGTAGACATGCTGCACGGAAGTATCTTACTTTGTCTACATTGTCTACACTTTACGGGAATTTTTTAAACAGAAATGTAGTGTAATTTAATAACTACATTAAAAATAACAAGTTACTTGTAAGTAGTTACCTACCATAAGTAATTAGTGTGAGGTTAGGCGTTCTCTATGTGTAATCAGTGAGGTGAAGGGGTTAATAATAATAATTATTTAATATCCTAAAGTAGTCTTAAAAGTTATCATCATTAAGTTGAAGATATAATCATTATTATAATTAATATTTGCTTTTATATTTGGTTTTAAAAACCGAGATGTTTAAATATAAACATCTATACTAAAACCCGATGAATTGCAATGACACACCAACAACTGCCATAAATTATAGCCCGAGGATTTATAAAATGTTTAAAATTATATAAATAAATCTTCCAAATTTACCGTTTCCTATATTTTCTTCTAAGTCAGATTTAGCGGGCTTCTNCTAATTTTTCACCGTTGACACGTGTCATTTTAAAATATTACCAGTTAAAAGCTGATTAGAAAACTTATGACAAACACCCTTTTTATGGTTTTTCTACATTCTTCGCCACCATTAGCCTCGGACATCATTTCTTCCTAAAGACCACAGCTACCTTATTTGGCTACTTCAACGTCCATTTTGGCACCAAAACATTATGCTGGCTACATTATTTGACTAACTTTTTTAGCTATAGAGAAAAACTGGTAGCTCTTGTCTATCACTAGTTGGCATTCGGTTTTTTGAGTCTGATCGTTTTTTAACATATTTCTGCCACCGAGTGTAAATTGTAAATTGAGCACTAATAGGGCCTTTTCTCAAGTGTATCTTGTGTTCAGCCAGGCCCACAATGGGATAGTTAGGTGGTGAGGGACAGGTCTCGACCACCTAACATCCAGAACATACCACACACTAATTCTTGGGTTTGTTAACCAGTCCGAATTCAAATTTCTGGTCTTCCAAAGCAGTAAGCTGATGGCTAATCCACCTTCACTATCTGACCTTCACGTAATTATCGTCCACCCAGTGGCCGTGTGGATAAAATCACCGAACAATGGACCAACTGAATATGCACTGGTGTATGGAGTTTCCAGTTTTTTCTTCATACGTCTAATTGGAAAATCGGTCCCAATTTAGATACATTACATCTTTCCAGGAGACATTGGCCTTGGCAGATTGCCTACGGTTTGCACTGCCATATCCCATTAAATCAACGTGTGACTTAAATAACTGGTTTAAGTTAGGGCTTATCACACCAATGAATATGAACACAAAGTTTCTTAAATTTATTAAATATTCAAGTTTACAAAACAAAGATTTTACAATAATTAAAACTAATATAACCAAGCGGTAGAGTTAATTGATGCCTCTGAAGGATTGACTGAAACATTACACCATATAAAAAGAAATATAATATGCACTTTTACAATTAAATTTCGAAATGAATCTTGGGTGTTTACATATAAGATATGATTTGGTTAAATATTTATTGTTCATATGAATAATATTGTGTGTTGAATATGCTCAGTCCATTTATGAGCCCGATAAATCTTATTAAAATAAAAATTATTCGTCGAAAATATATAATTATTAATATTTTACTTTTATTTTCATCAAATCAATAAATATTGAAATAAAATGTCATAATTTCCTTTGTTGTTGGGATCATCGACTATATTTATATTGAATAATTCTTGAAAATTCCATAACTTTGTGTCTGCAGGTGTACAGGAACTCTATGGTCAATTTAATGATCCAAGACGTAGAATTTAATTATATTTATTTTGGTTGGTTACGTACGTTATTTTGTGCATTTCGGACCGACTTTCATTTCACGGTCCCTCATCAGTAACTAAAAATATAAGAGGTAGGTAAAAGTACAAAATTAATGTAAAAAAGATAATAATAACAAGCAATTATTTAATGTGACATTGTCACAAAATAGGGGTGCAATTTTTAATCGTATTTTTAATTTATTTTGTTTAAAATATATGCTCTCCCTCTCAAATTAGTAGTGGCTTGACCCTGTACATCAGAGCTGTCCAACTGGTGGCCCGCGGGCCGTATACGGCCCGTCAAATAATTTTTACGGCCCGCGAGTACATTTTACTATGAAGCTCTCCATCTCAAATTAGTAGTGGCTTGACCCTGTACATCATACTTTTCCTTTAACAATAGAGTCGTGCCAGTCATCTAACACCTTTCGGGGGAAATTCTCGAACTGAAATAATGTGATTTCTGATTTACATCTGAAATTTGTATATAGTTAATCGGGGCCTCCTGCCCCTAAGATTTCCATATTTGGTCTCGTCTTTCAAAGGAAGCGGATGATAGATGAAGTGATAGAAAGAAGCGGATGATATTGTGCTGTGTGAACTTTCTCAAACCAAGGCTGAGAAGAAACTGGAAGATTAGAGGAAAGTTTTGAAAGAAAGGGGCATGAAGATTATCAGAACTAAAACAGCTTATACGACATTGAATGGTAGAGACGAGTGTAATATTAAAATCGAAAATTTGCCGCTCCCTTGATTCTGAGTTTTAAGCATCTTGGGACATTTGTCAAGATGGGAGGAGGATTGAACTCAGAGGTGCAGCATAGAATTCAATGTGGATGGATGAACTGGAGGAAGCTGAGCGGTGTGTTATGCGACAAGAAAGTTAGCTGCAATCTGAAATAAAAATTGTATAAATCAGTTGTTAGACCTGAAATGTTATGTGGAACTGAGACACGGGCAATAAGAGCCCAAGAAAGAAAGATGGAGATGGCGAAGATAGAATGTTGAGATGGATGTGTGGAATGTCAAGGGAGGATAGAATAAGGAATGATTTTATTAGAGGTTCTGTTAAGGCGGGCCCCTTGAGCAAAAAGATGAAAGAATATAGGTTGAGATGGTTTGGCCTCGTAGAGTGAAGAAGCAACAGTTATGTTGGAAAGGAGATCGGAAAACTGGTAGTAAAAGGAAAGAGGAAGACCAAAGATGTGTTGGAAAGATAAGGTGGAAGAAGACTTGAATAAGAAGGGACTTACGAGAGAAAAAGTCCTTGATAGGGAAAAATGGAAAAAATGTATTAGAGAAGGAAATGCTGACCCCATATAAACATGGGAAAAGGCAAAGATAAAGATGAAGAAGAAGATATTAAAAAATATGAAAATTATTTTAATTTTTTGCTATTATGTGAATATTGTAATAATCTTACAGCTGATTTATTTCCTTTTACTTTCGCATAACGAATAGTTTTTGCTATTTTTCTAAATTACATACGAACTTTGGGAATATTTTGACGCTTATTGTAATTTGAAGCCCTCCAATTCCAGTCCTGACTCCATTCCCTCAATTTTGTATATAAAATTAAAACTGATTATCACTGTAATTTTATCAAGACTTTTTTCTAAAGTACTCTATTATAGTTTTGTTTCAAAACAATGGTATTCCTCTACTATTACTCTACTAATACCAAAAAAAGGACAAAAAAATCTTTCCGACCCACTTATTTATCTGTTACAATGCTTAAAATTTTCAAAATACATTTCTTCAATAAAATTTATGTTCTGATAATTTCATAACTCTTACCTATTCACAACATTCAAACTGCTAAATCAATCAACTATTACTAACTTACTCGATACGATGTTTATAATCTTGAATAATTTTGAAAAAAAAAAAACATTCGCGTTACATAGCTTAATTGACTTATACCTGACTTATAGCCTTTGACTCCATACCTCCAAATACTTTTAGATACCTCCATGACTATTTTGATTTAACCCAGCTCTTCACTCCTGACTAAACAATTACATTGCTCTAAAGCATAACAATATTCGATAACTCTAGTTTACTCCAAGGGTCTATCTCTATCTCAAGATTCCTCTTGGTTACAGAGGGTCGAGCTATGAGATGCTCTTTCTTACATTTGTGAAGGTAAGCTGTAGCATTCATATACTAAAATGTGAATGAAGAAAACACCTTCCAGTTTTGAACAGGTGATATAGGAAAAAAGCAAACGATGCATTTAGTTATATTCAGTATTAAAGATATTCTCGTTATATTCTGCAATTAGTGCACTCTGATGATATCCAATTCCGGTTTAAAAATTCTGGCAGTGGTTGGAAAAAAACGAGACGTTCTTCCGATTCGTACGGCCACCAATGGGCAAGACTTAAATCGAAATGACAATTCCACCTAGTGGAAACATGAGGAAGCGTGGACTTATGATAGGCACAGAAAGACAATCATAGTGCCCCTCTGGTTTTTTTTATAAGTCCAGAAAACTTATGCTATTGGTCTCCTCTTTCCACACTGACACTGACCCAAATTTTAAAGGAGTTGAAGGTGTTCACTAAACAATCAAATTCAACGACGCCTACTGGCTATAATATGTGTACATCGTTGTCGTATCTATGGTACAGTACACTAACGAATACAGGATTGAGAGGAGCATCAAAACCACATTATTTCTGCTAATGCCTGGGATAAAAGTGAACCCTAGAACTTCTGGAGATATTGATAACCGAATGACTAATAGACACTCTCTATAACAGCGAACAGAAGTAAAATATTTGATGTTCTTAAACTTTTCAATTTTCAAGTTGAAAACCTTACGTTCCCACTGTCGTCCGTCTGTCCGTCCTTCGCTAATCTTGAGAACGGGGTTAGCTAGATGACCCACACAACGGTCATTACCGGGAGAAGTATGATTTGGAGGAGAAGACATCACTAAAATTTAGACTAAATATGGAAAGCTTAAGGGCCGGAGACCCCGATTAATTGTATATCCGAACCAGAATCTCTTGATCATTTCATCAGAAGACGATTAAAACCTTCAGTCCGACATTATAACGATGTCACAATAAATAATTGTTCGTCAGTTTTAGAAAGTTTGCACTTTAAAATTTCTTTAACAACACTGGACAACAAAAACAATACTTTCTTGCAAGTAAAAATATTACTTTCACCATGTTAAGTGTGCAGATTTTAAATGGGAATTTGCATCTTTCCTACATTTTGTGATTTCTTATGGCTTTTCTTATGCCGTTTGGATCATTTCCGGCAAATATTTAAAGAATAAATGATGGAAAACGTCTCTTGTTGATAGGTCGGTATATTTACAAACAGAAAATGGCATTTAAAAGTTTAAAGGAGAGAGACATTAGCGATTAAATACGGTTAAAGAAAGATACTCACCGCCCGTCTGAGGTATTCTCCGACTTTTCCACTTTGGGGTCACCGGCCGGGCAGGGGCAAAAAATGGCTCTTGACGACCAATCAGGAACATCAGTTTGGATCAACACAGTTTCTCCGGACGGCGTTTCCAATGTCCCGCCCGAAGGGTCCGCCGCCGTTCCACCCCATCCCGCCTCTGGGTCTCGGCTCTTCTTCCTGAAGTTGTCGTCTTTCCTTCCTTCCCCTAAAAAAGTGGCTGCAGCTTCCGAGGGATGGCCGGCACTACGCTTCTTTTCCACCGAGTCGCTGCCAGAATCGGAATCGGAAAGGCCGGGAGCCGGTGCCCGGGCCGGGTGGGAGGCGGCGGACCGGACCCGCCGACGGACGGACAAGGTGATGGAAGGGGGAAAGACTCCGTCCCGGGGGCTGATGGCCCGTCTCAGAGCTTCCATGGCCCGGCCGTTGGACATCCCCAGTAACGACGTCCCGTCGATATCGATCAGTCGGTCGTCAGTCTTCAGTCGACCATCCTGGAGGGGAAAATAAAAGTTTTCCATCAGGAAACCAACCCGGAAAGCCAAAATGTTACTTTTCCTTTAACAATAGAGTCGTGCCGGTCACCTATTAACCGCTTTTGGGGGAAAAGTTTGAATTGAAATAGAATGACTTCCAAAAGGAAAGACAGATGGACGGATGACAGCGAGAATTTATAGGTCTACAAATCGACCCATTGAATTTATACGCATTTATAATTACTTTGCATCACCAGAAGACGGACTAAATAACTGCAATTACAGTAATATTTATTAAAATCTTTATAGCAAAATTAATGTCTTTATTAATCTTAATGTAGACAAGTTGTACATTAGTTAATTCCGTCCGTCTTTCCTTAATCTCGAGAACCGAGTTAGATAGATAAAAGAAGACATGGGTATGAAAATCTTAATGTTAGGAGGCCCAGGTTAACTATATACGTCACACGAGAAAAGAAATAGTTTTAAGACTACAAGAAATAGAAAAAATAAATACAAATGCAATTTACTGTAGTAAGTTCTGGTTAAAGTTTAGATAAATTTCAATTTACCTTGAAAGCAGCACCTCCCTCAATTACCGATTTCACGAATATTCCAAGATCGACACTTCCATTTTGTCCAGTAGAAGTCTTTCCTTTCACACTTACACCCAAACCAGTAGAACCGAAATCGAAATCATTAAGTGGAATTTCAAATGTAAGTATTTCCTTACGCTTCCACGGCTGTTCTCCATTTTTCTCGGACATCTGTAAATATTTATCTACAATTAAATACACTTTGAACCAGAAATAAACTCTTTAAACGTAATAAATATCGACCGAAAGGGAAGACTCGAAATAACAGCTTAGAGCAAACAACAATGGCTTTATTGGTCCCCTTTTAGGTCATGATATCTCTTATTGTGTTAGCTTCACTATAAAATCTGTAATAACGGCAGGTTATAATAGCTATAATAAAAGAAAAATTGTTTACCTTACAAAAACAGTACAGTAAATTACTAGTATAACTTACTAGTAATATTAGTTAAGTAAGTAAATGTGATTAATAATGTAAAATGTTATAATGCCGTTTGATTACGTACAGTAGGGCAGTGCCAGCGGTGTCCAGGCACAGGGTGCAGAAATGACCTGGGCCAAGTTTTGGGTCATAGTTACAGAAGCTCGCACTGAGCGCATAAAAGGCTAGTTACGGTGCTGAGTACAGACACAACTTTTGAGAACATACAAACAAATAGACAAATTGGTATCGCCATTTGTAATACTCAGGAAGATCCAGAACAGTTTAGGTATCATAACATATACAATCGGATCCTCCTGCCCTTAAGTTTTCTTGTTTCGACTTTCATCTATCTAACTCCGTTCTCGAGATTAACAATAACATAATAATAGTAATAATGATAACATTACTCGGTAGGCATCTCGACCCACGGGTGGGTTTTAAGTGGACACGCGAGTGACCTGACCGCTGGGCTAGAAGAGTCCAACCCGTTACCGTCGATGGAGGAAAAGGGGTATTTTCGAGAAGACGAAGAGTTATTAAAGAGAAAAACTTTACCGATTCTCTGGCAGAGGACGACGGCGAAAGATCCGGTTCCTGTCGAGAGACGACCAATTCTACGGTTCCTCCCAAAGGGGTGTTTCTGAGAACCGACACGGCTTCCGTCTGCGATTTTCCGGTCATCTCTACGCCATTGACCTGAAACAAAGATTTGGGGTTAAACCGAGGTACAGAGGCTCTTCCCGTCTTCCGCCACGCTAACAGGAGAGAAGAAATAAGTGACTGGAAAATATGGTTTTAAAATTTTGCATTAATTAATCTATCTGTCCCTTATCTACACTTTTACCACCAACGGGGGTGATGCTCTCTAACTGCCAATTATAATTTTCTTCCGGTTCAAGTCCCGCAACCTGGTGTTCCCACAAACGAACTCTTTCGTGTTTAGAAGGGAGAGGCGGTTAAAGACGGACTACTCACCTCCAGAAGTCGATCACCGGGCTTCAAGCGACCATCTCGGACGGCGGCTCCTTTCGGTAAGATATTCTTGACGTAAATGGGGCAGTTTCCTCCCGCCGGATTGTCTCGCGTGGTGACGCTGAATCCCAATCCTTCCGCACCTGAAAAATAAAATCCCGAGGACTTCGGATCGGTCTTTCTCACCCTGCCCGCCAGAACAAATCTTTCCTCCTTTTCTTCTCCTCTCGCTCTCAATTACAATTTACCATAAAAGAAAAGCGAGTCAGACCCAATTAATTTCTTCCTCACCCGGACCACCTCCCTGGTTACTTCCGTGACGAGTACTACCATTCCCGGGATAAAAATATACCATAACTTAGCAGTGAAATTATTACAATCACAACACATCCCAATTTAATAGCGAGGTTGCGGCCGAAGTTTTCATCTCTGAAACGTGAACGTCGAGCGGTGCTCGACGTTCGACGTTCACGTTTCAGAGATGAAAACTTCGGCCGCAACCTCGCTATTAAATTGGGATGTGTTGTGATTGTAATAATTTCACTGCTAAGTTATGGTATATTTTTATCCCGGGAATGGTAGTACTCGTCACCAAAGTAACCAGGGAGGTGGTCCGGGTGAGGAAGAAATTAATTGGGTCTGACTCGCTTTTCTTTTATGGTAAATTGTAATTGAGAGCGAGAGGAGAAGAAAAGGAGGAAAGATTTGTTCCCGCGGNTTAACATGCCGATCTTGCCCCGATCTCCCCTATATATTAGCGAGGTTGCGAGGTTTAAAACGTGAACGTCGAACGTCGAGCGCCGCTTATAAGGTAGCGGCGCTCGACGTCCGACGTTCACGTTTTAGAGATGAAAACTTCGGCCGCAACCTCGCTAATAAAACACTAAATGCAAAGACCCTGTGTTTTCCCTGACTGACGGGATTCAAATCTAACAACAAGAGAAAGAAGTGGGATGTAATAAACACATATTTTACATAGGCTAAAACTGCTACTGTACTCGGTTTTCGTGACATCTCGACGGTCACCATCGACTCGGTCGAGTCAGAACGTGAGATGGGTCTGAGTGTTCAAAGATTTCGCCGTAGACAATTTCTAGGCGATGTCTCACCAGCGAAAGAATATTTCGGAAAGAAAAGTTCTCCGACTCCGCCATCCTCCGCCCGCCTACGGGGGGGCGGACAAAGGAGAAGATGGAAAAGAAGAGGATTACCTTTGGTCAGTTGGATGCGGATCCTCCGTCCGATCTTCCTGGTGTTGGCCGTCAGCGCCGCGTTGGGATTTCTGTGAGGCACGCCGGGCGGCACCTTCTTGGTGGGGGTAACGGTGGCAACTTTTGTCTCCGCCTCGCCTGTCGAATGAACGAAAAGACGGGTCATCCCGGGTGACGCTGCAAAAGTCGGTTCGGTGGTGGTCAATCCCTCCGCCGTTTCCGGAGCGATCTTCCCGTTTACAAATTCCCCTTCCGGAAGGGGAACATTTCCATCGGCGAACGAAAGGCTTTTCTTCCGCCACTTCCGGTGCCCGGAAGAAAACCGCATCCCTCTTCCCGTAAGAAATTTTAAACCGGAATAGGAAATACGCCGATGGTCCGACCACCCGAAGGTATAAGAAAGGAAAAAGAAAACCGGTTTCTTTCGCCGCATAAATGAGTTCGAACCGTTTTCTGCGGTGATTCCGCCTCCCAGGAAAGAAGAAGGCGTTTCTTTCCCACTCACCTCTCTCTTCGGCTCGTACCACCGTCTCTTCCGAAGACTTCTCCCCTTCCGGCGACGGACTTCCGGCCGGGTGGTGTGGGTCGACGGGCGCTCGGACCAGGCGCAGGCGGATCTCGGGAGCCTTCAGAGCCTCCTTGAAGATGTCCTGGGCCTGGCGGAAACCCACGCGGCTCAGGCGACGTCCGTTGATCTCCACAATGCGGTCGGAAACTCGGAGTCTACCGTCGCGGTCGATCCTCCCTCCGGGTTCGATTCCCTGCACCAACAAGCCGCAGTCCCTGAAAGACAGGAACCATCTTTAGTCACAGAGCAAATCGAAACGTCTTGAGTTCATTAGCCAATAGAAATCGGTGGTAGAGAATGTCGACCTTTTACTACGTAGGGCCACTTGTAAAGGGAATGGAATTCTACTACGAAAACGTTGGCCAAAAGCCAAATTTTCCTAATTACGGGATTTATTCCGTGCCGAATTTTATGATTGGCAGTCGTTATTCCATTGTCAAAAATCTGTGAAA